ATTCATTCCTGAACACCTCTGCCAAGAGTAATTCCCTGAGCAGCTTGCTCGGTGCGGGCCGTTGCATCCGCATACGGAATGCAGCTTCATGCTTCATGTGCAGCCACCGCTTCCGCTGCTCAGAAAATCAGATACTACAGGTCTCCCTGGAGCACATTTCACAAGCAGCAGCTGCTTTAACCCCTGTGTCCTGGCCACACGCCAGCAGAACTCATTAGAGTTCTCCCCCCTACGTTCCTCCTGCAGCTTCAGTTACAAATGGCATCTTCATGACAAACATTGCTCTTTGCAGTCCTTGCCACGTCAAGACTGAGGAAAGGTTGAGAGACCGAAGCACTTCATGGTCTGCAAAGATAAGGTCCCTGCTTCAGTTTTTCTTGATAGTGATTAACAAGAATTCCATGATGGAATCAACAATTATGATTAATTTTAATGTACTTTAATATTAGAAGACAGTGCTTACAAGTAAGATGGGCATTTCTGTATTTCTCAATAGGTACTAGCTCACACAACACCATCTTTAATCCCAGATCTTATGGATCTGGGAATAAAGCTCCTTATCCTTCTATCTGTGCAATACCTTTAGAACTACCAACTGCCGGCAGCGAGAACTAGATCCCAGTAGATCCAAGGAAAGCCAGTCAGAGCACTAGTTACCACTGCTTTAACAGCAGATCTTGTGGTCAAATTTTGCACTGACCATACACTGATCACTGACCCATACACAATCCACTGATCACAAATGAGCACAACCTGGATACCAAGTATTTTTGGAACAAGTGAGAGGGTTAGGCTCCTGGTTAGCGACCTAAGCAGGGATTCATTCAGTTTGATGCTTTCTCTTCCTTCATCAGAGGGGATCGTATAGATGAAGGCACTAAATCTTTATTGATGCTAATAGGTTGCATCAATACCCTATGGAAGTATCAGCAGCAGCTTAAATGCATTTTGTTCTGATTTGCAGCTTAAGGCATTTCCATCTGCATTTCACAAAATACAAGTCGGGGAGAATTCGACCTTCATGTGCTGAAAACTGAAAATGAATTTCCCAATCCTCTCCCTTTTTGAGGGCTGGGGCAAGACATGCAGAACAAACACATTTTTCTACACTGCACTGTTTCTTCAGCTCTCTGGGTTGTTCCTTGCACCTGTCCTTGGCTCTGAAAGCAAGGCACATTCTCCCCATGTGCCCTCCTCGCATGCATAACACAGTTCTGGGAAGTGAGAGATCTAGGAGCCCTGAAACTTATGCCTCTAATTATTTTCTGTCTTAACTACCCTGCCCAAAACAACACTCTCAAATACTAACATCTGTTGTAAGCATTTTTGTTGGCCACATTCATAAAATGGGAATATTCCATCCTCCGGGATTAGGGGACAGAGATATTTACGCACGGACTATACAGCGTACCTGCCACACAGCTGACATTCCCAAGGAGCACAAGGCCCTGGCACTGCAAGGATGTCTGTGCATCCCCAGGGAAGGGTCCAGGTGACGTCCCACTCCCTGCATGTGCATTTGGAGTTACTCTGGACAAGCACAGACTGCAATCTGCCTCAGATTACTAAAAAAAATAGCAGCCTGGCTGAACCCCTACTCTGACAGAGTGGCTACATGTCCAGAAATCCCAGAAAAAATACACAAAATTACCAGACTCCACTGAAATATTTTTTTTGCCTGTGATACTCTCTATCATAAGCTTTTTTCCTGTCCTATGTCCTTGAAAGCATCCTCAGTCTTCTTCCCTCTCCCTAATCACAGCACCTCTTAGACTCCTAACCTGTTCTTTTCTCTCTTGTACAGCCTCTATGCCTTAATGAGTCACTGTTTCATGCCTTTCTTTAAAATAACCTTTTCCATTGACAAATCATTACATAATTATCTTGAAACTACAGCATGTGAGTTCTCTACGGCACCCAATACAATAGTAGCATTTTTCATTACATCCAAATGCCCAGCACTTAATACTATGAGGCATGCAGCCTGGCTTTGCCTATTATTATTACAAAGAATAAGAGGTTTTGTCACCTCTCGTCTCCTTCTCAGAGCACACGACCTCTCTGCGCTGCTGCACTGCTAACGGGTGATACTTCAGAGGGAGAGTGCTTGAAGGAACTGAGAAATGAGCCCTGCATACGCTGCCTTGCCAGGCTTCTTGCAGTGATTTTTTCCTGTTACTGGAGTTACACTGCTATATTAATTCCATGTTTGCAGTTTTACCAATGGCAAGCATTAAAAAACGCCTAAGGAATTTTATCCTTCTACATTCTACATCTTCCTTGTGGAATCCTGAGACTGACTTAAAAATGATAACATTTATAAAGTTGCCAATGCTGGATTCTTTTTACGTAACTTTTGGCTCTTGAGCATTAAGGGTCAAGTTTTCAGGCTATTTTTCATAAACCTAGGGACTAAAACATTACTTTTGTTTTCCTAACTAAAGCTATAAGATTTGCATTTACTGATGCATTTACTGATCTGACTTAATAAGCTCCTACCTTTTAGGAAAAAAAAAAAAGAAAGAAAAATGGGACAAAATTCCAAGAGCCAGTGGGAGTGCATGTGGGCACCATGAGTCACCTCTCCTCCTTTTCTAAAAATGACTATTTCAGTCTCAACAGACAAGGACACACGTGGCCAGACAAAACACAAGCAGCGGGGCTGGGGCTGAGCCCCCATCTTCTTGCACTTTTCTGGCTGAGCCTCCAGGCAAAAGCTGCAAGGAAGGGCACAGGACAAGCGAGCAGGTTGGCAGTGGATGCGACTCACACCATGCTCTGCCTATCCCAGGAAATCATCACAAAAATCAATAGATAATTGTGGTCAGTGAGATGATCCCTGGACTGCCGGAGGATTTCCAAGATAAAGCCCTAAGGGACCTTCAGTGTTTGACTGATACTCTAATATCAAGTTAGTCATTCTGTGTGGCAAAGCAGCCTAAGAAACACGACTAAAGAGGGCCTATGTCATACGTGCCCACTTTTTCTATTCTTAGACACACTTTATAACACATTGGTAACATTTAACTCTCTGGCCTAGACAGGGAGACACTCCAAGCATCCAGCCCCTCTTACGTGTTAGGATCCTGCGAGCTGCATTTGTTCACGAGCTGTGAACTGATAGCAGTAATATGCTGAGAGCACAGCATAAAGCTTTATTGCCAGATACTCACTGCAGATGCACAGAGCATAGTTATACTCCGGCACTGGGCGGGTGTGCAGAGTTGTTACACACTGCACCATTCATGGAGGCAGACAGCTCTCTGGTTCCATATTTGCAGTTGTAGCTCGGCTCCCAGAGAAGCTCTGGATGCAATAAATAAAGCAGAAGGATCGATTCTACATGGTATATTTGCTCCAGAGGGCTTTAAACCTGCAAGCTGCTGCAGGTCTTGGATGGTCAGACTTTTGTGGATGTGTCCTTGCGAGCTGCAGATGCTCAGGATACACGAGCAGGGTATTTGCCTTGTGAGACAGCATCAGGCTGCCGGGTTTAGGCTGCCTGGTCATGCGAAACCATCATCGTATGACAGGGAAACACTACAGCACCGTGCACTGTCATTATGGGAGCCTAAAACTTTAAGGGGATAGATACTTGCAGGACGGCAGAAATTGGAGATTTTTTGTCTCTTCAGTTCTTGGTGGAAAGGAGGGGTCCAACCATGCTCTCCTTCCTGTCAGTCAATCCATGGCACTGACAATAAAATCAACTGAGGTTGCTTTGGATTTTTCCCAGACAAGAGCAGAATTTGGCTTCTCTAAAAAGTAGGCATCTTGAGACATGATCCCTGCGAGCAACACTTCACAATCCCAATAAATATTTATCAAAAATAAGCTAAGCTGTGTTACCAATAACTCCCACTGCATGATTCTGGTGCTTAGAGAAAAACAGTTTAAACAACCCAATCTGTAGCTTAAATAAGAGCATATGACGAATCAGCCGACCAAAACCAAGCCATAAGGAAAATAAAAAAATATAGTAAAATATTCATCTCCATTCCAGTACATATATATATTGTGCATAAGCATATAGATACATATGTGTGTTTTCCAAACAGATGAATGCAGTACTTACTCTGAGTGACATAAAGGCCCTCTGTTGACTTATCTTCATGCCCATCGAACTCCCTGCTGGCTAGTTGCCTGTTGGCAGTCTCCAGTCGTTCTGCACAAAACAGGAAATACTTTAAGTATAAATATATGTATATAAAATTGTAGGTCAACCAAGAAAACAAGACGCATGCCAGTACTGTAGTATAAATAGACTCTCCAAAGGGGGACATTAAAATGGAGGCTGACACATATGTAAAAGATGAGGCCCTAGACTTCTTCCATGAATCTGTCTTTGAGAATGCCTCGATTTACAGAAGCTGGGGGAAAAGCTGTGGCCATCCACAGCAGGCTTGTTCGAGCAGTTCATTTTTCACACTGCAGAAAGAGTGCACTACATTTGGTGTCTGAATGGCTCTGGCTTTGGGTGGCAAACAGGGTCTGCACCGTCCTCCCCGCTGGAGCAGGGGCTGACCTAGGGCCTGCTCGGGCGCAG